GATGAAACTTACAAGGTGAAACTCTACCAAAAACTACAAAAATTAGCTGGATGTGGTGGTGGGCACCTGTAATCCCAGCTACATGGGAGGCTGAGGCAGGAGAATCACAACCCAGGAGGCCGAGGTTGCGGTGAGCCAAGATCACACCATTGCACTCCAGCCTGGGTAGGGGGAAAAACCAGCAGGGGAGTGACAGAATCCAGTTAGTTTTAGATGGCATGTTGCAATGTGGTCTAGAGATAGGTGGAGGCCAGAGGGAAGACTGGGAAATGCTAGGAAGGAAACCATGGTGAGAAGGCAGCCAGGAGGGGAGCAGGGGACAGGGGCAGGGACTATCTCTAGAGGCCTGGTTGGGGCTGCAGTCACAGCTTCAGGCGCCTCTGCTGCGGGCTGCAGTCTCAGGTGGGCAGCAGCCCAGCTGCCTCCGCAGTCAATAGGCTGCTACGTTCCCAACTGAGCCGCACCACCACTTGGCTCTCCTTTCAGGCAAAACCCCTGAAAGGAGCTGCTTTCAAAGACCCAGCTGATTGCATCCCTGGTTACCAGGAAAGAGCAGGACAAGTTGCAGTCTCACCACAGGAAATAAAAAGAATGATCCGGCAACTGGCAGCATTTTTCCAGCATGATTCTAGCCAGCTGTCCTTTATGCTGCTTGGCACAAGAGCTGCATCAATGTAAGAATAGCAGCAGCTTCTTCAGTGCGAGGCACTGCGCTAAACACTTTGATCTTGTGTGATTCCATTTGAGGCAGCCGTCATCACAGGAGTTACCACGAAACGGCTGGGAGGTTAAGTCCTCTGCCTAAGGTTGAACGGTCGGAGGCTTCGGAAGAGGATTTTCATCCAGGCATGTCTACCTCCTGAAGGTCTGTGCACCACATCCTGCCTTAGAAACCAGACGGCAGACTGACAGTACAAAAGCACCCCTCATCTTTTCCCCTAATAATTTGACTTTGGCATAATTTTAAGTTTACCAAAAAGTTGCAAAGATAGAGTTTCTGTTTGCCACTCACCCAGTTTCACCTGTTACCATCTTTTTTTTTTGAGAGTCTTACTCTGTCGCCCAGGCTGGAGTGCAGTGGTGCAATCTCAGCTCACTGCAACCTCCGCCTCCCAAGTTCAGGCGATTCTTCTGCCTCAGCCTCCCAAGTAGCTGGGACTACAGGCACGTGCCATCATACCTGGCTATTTTGTTTTTTAATTTTTAGTAGAGACAAGGTTTCGCCATGTTGGCCAGGCTGGTCTCGAACTCCTGACCTCAAGTGATCTGCCCACCCCAGCCTCCCAAAGTGCTGGGATTACAGGCGTGAGCCACCACGCTCAGCCCACCTGTTACCATCTTACATCGCAATGATATATTTGCCAAAAGTAGGAAACCACTGGTACATTACTACTAGCTGAACTCCAGACTTTATTTGTATTACTTTTTTATTATTTAGTTAGTTTGTTGAGACAGGGTCTTGCCCTATGGCCCAGGCTGAATGTAGTGATGCAGTCATGGCTCCCTGCAGCCTCCACTTCCCAGGTTCAAGCAATTCTCCTACCTCAGCCTCCCGAGGAGCTGGCACTATAGACATGTGTCACCATGCCCAGCTAATTTTTTATTTTTTGTAGAGATGGGGTCTCCCTATGTTGCCTAGGCTGATCTCAAACTCCTGGGCTCAATCCAACCTCCTGCCTCGGCCTCCCAAAGTGCTGGGATTACAGGCGTGAGTCACTGTGCCCAGCCTTTATCCTATTTCACTAGTTTTTGTGCTAATACCCTATTCTGGTTCCAGAATCCAATCCACATACCACAATGCATTTAGTTTTCACTCCTCCTTAATCTCCTGTCCTTGACTTTCATGACTTTTTTTTTTTTAAGAGCTCCCACTATATGGGAGGGGATTCCAGAGAGCCGGAAATCCTGACTTTCATGACTTAACAATTTAAGGAGTCAAGGGCAGTGGCTCACGCCTATAATCCCAGCACTTTGGGAGACCAAGGTGGGTGGATCACCAGGTCTGGAGTTCGAGACCAGCCTGGCCAATATGGTAAAACCCCATCTCTACTAAAAATACAAAAAGTAGCTGGGCGTGGTGGCACTCACCTGTAGTCCCAGCTACCCGAGAGGCTGGGGCAGGAGAATCACTTGAACTCGGGAGGCAGAGGTTGCAGTGAGCCGAGATCGTGCCATTGCACTCGAGCCTGGGTGACAAAGCAAGACTCTGTCGTCTCAAAAACAAAACAAAACAAAAAAATAAGGAGTACTGTTATTTTGTAGATGTCCTCTAACTTGGTTATAGGTTTCTAAGAGAATATCACAGGGGTGAACTGCTCTTCTTATCATGTCAAACCAGAGTATGTATCAATGTGATTCACAAGTGATATCAACCTCAATTTGGTTAAGTTAGCATATGCCAGGTTTCTCCACAGTAAAGTTACTATTTCTCTTCTCCATATTCTGTTCTTTGGAAAGCAAATCACTAAGCTCAACCTACACTCTAAGGGGTGGGGAGTTCCACTTACTGAAGACAGGAGTATCTACTTATATTATTTAGAATTTTTTTTTTAGGACGGGGTTTTACCACTTTGGTCAGGCTGGTCTCGAACTCCTGACCTCAGGTGATCCACCCGCCTCAGCCTCCCAAAGTGCTAGGATTACAGCTACCTCACCGGCTTTAGAATATTTTTTATAGGATTTGTACCTTCAGCCGGTGTGGTGGCTCACAGCTGTAATCCCAGCACTTTGGGAGGCCAACGTGGGTAGATCACAAGGTCAAGAGTTCGAGACCAGCCTGACCATGTTGAAACCCCATCTCTACAAAAAAATACAAAAAGTAGCTGGGCATGGAAGATTTTTATTAAAATTGTATCAGCACAGACTTATTTATCTTATGCTCTGGCTTAATCATACCCTTTATTTAAAAAACAATTTTTTTTTTTTGAGATGGAGTCTTCACCCTGTCACCCAAGCTGGAGTATAATGGCGCGATTCAACTCACTGCAACCTCCGCCTCCCAGGTTCAAGCGATTCTCCTGCCTCTTGAGTAGCTGGGATTACAGGCACGTGCCACCACACCCAGCTACTTTTTTGTATTTTTAGTAGAGACGGGTTTCTCCATGTTAGTCAGGCTGGTCTCTAACTCTTGACCTCAGATGATCCACCCACCTCAGCCTCCCAAAGTGCTGGGATTACAGGCATGAGCCACCATGCCTGGCCTGCCTTTTCTAAGTTAGGATACAGATGCCATTGTTATAAGTGACTCCAGTATTCAATACAGTAACATGCTGTACTGACTGAAGCATAGGATCAACAGACATGATCTAGGTTTGTAAGTACAGTTTTACAAAACACCTGCCATTTCTCAGAATGTATTCCCATCATTAAGCAATGCATAATTGTATATGAAATCCCCATTGACAAATTCATAGATGGATTGATTGCTTAAGGCAGGGGAAGGAGCAATTGCTAATGCGTTTGTTTTGGTGTGTATAGGGGTAGGGAGACAGGGTATGAAATGCCCTAAAGCTCATTGTGATTTTCATAATATATAGCACTAGAAATCAGGCCAGGCACAATGGCTCACACCTGTAATCCCAACACTTTGGAAGGCCGAGTTGGGTGGATCACCTGAGGTAGGGAGTTCAGGACCAGCCTGACCAACATGAAGAAATCCCATCTCTACTAAAAATACGAAATTAGGGCCCGGCACAGGGGATCATGCCTGTAATCCCAGCACTTTGGGAGGCTGAGACAGGTGGATCACTTGAGGTCAGGAGTTCGAGACCAGTCTGGACATGACGAAACCGTCTCTACAAAAAAAAAAAAAAAAAAAAAATTAACCAGGCAAGGTGGCGCATGCCTGTAATCCCATACTTGGGAGGTGGAGGCTGTGGTGAGCCGATATGGCACCAACATACTCCAGGTCTTGCAACAAAAGCGAAACTCCATCTCAAAACAAAACCAAACCATTTTATAGGTGAATTGTATATAAATTATCTCAATAAAGCTGTCATGTAAAATGTGTGCAGCTTGAGTCATAACTATTGTCCTCTTATTATAAGCTGTGACCTTTGCCGTGACTTCCCATGCTGTTTTCTTAGTTGTATGATGGGTATGGTATTCTCTTTCATCAGATTAAGATACGAGATTATTAAAATGCCTAGCAAAGTCTGGCATGTAACCAATGCTGCCTCATCACAGTAACCCCCTTGTCTCAGGACCTATTTATTTGCGTATTCCCTGTTTAGAACATGCCATCAAAGGCTTGCTCTCAACAGCAGCATCTCAACACTTTCCACTCTTGCTGGTAGCACTACCTCAATGCTCTTACCTCTCTAGCCCATGACACGCAGCATCCTCTCATCTCCGCTGGGCCTCACTAATCCTACCCAGCCACCAGCCTGTCCTAACCATGGCAAGCACCATCATGGGGTCTTGTGGTAATCTCTTGCAAAACATTCAGTACCATCTGGTGTCATTGGGTCCTCGGAGCCGCATGCAAGCTTCCGGAAAGCAAGAACTTTTATCTTTTTTACTGCTGATGAAAATAGGACTTGGTGTGTATTTGTGGGGTGACAATCTTTATGTACTTTATGTACTGATGTGGAACGATCTCCAAGATCTGCCAAGTGAAAAAAAGCAAGATTCGGTAGAGTGAGCTCCTAGCTTTGCACAGAAGGTGTGGGGGGAGAATGCACACCCACGTGTGTTTATATATGGCATGGGTCTGGAAGGCTCCTCTTCTGCTCAGGCTACACTTGGATCAACAGTTCCCACTCTGGTTCTTTAAGAATTGGTCCATTTTTAGAACCAGCACCTCCACTGAAAACGGGGTCTCCAACGCCTTGGTTTGCTTTAGACGACCAAGGCAATTTAATGCCACAAGTAGTGTGGAAAAGACCTCAAATGCAGCACCAGGATCTCAGCTCTCCTCAGGCTCCTTCTCCCAAGAAGCCAAATAGGAGGAAGAAATAAAATGTCTGAGTAGCGTCTGATGGAGAAAAGACTAGAGCTGAAACAGTTTACATGAAGGCAATTTATTAACAGGAAACATTTTGAGGAGTCTTGTTCACAGACGGCGACCACGGCGGCCCCCCTTCCTGCGGGTGCTGTCAGAGGGGATGGGGGTGACGTCCTCTGTGGGGAGGAAGAGAAAGCCTCATCATTGCCTGAAGCTGAATGGGAAGGGCCCCGAGGCCTCCCTAGAGACCAGTGGCCTAACCAATCAGCAACAGATCCTGCTGCTCCCAAAATGACCCCCCAGTGTGTAACAGATGGATGTGAAGGTGGAGCGGTCCCATCTGCCAATTCCTCGAATTTCCTGACATGGTCTTAACTCACTTTCCAGAAGGGGAAATAGGCTGAGAGTTATGCAAGATATCAGAGGCACAGGACAAATCCAGGTTCTGACGGTGGGCTAGTTTTCTCTAGCCCGCCATCTTCTCTAGAGAAAAATGTCTCCTTTTCATAAAGTAAAAGGAGACTGAAAAGAGTCTGAAAAAAATCTTTCAAGGCTGGGCATGCTGGCTCATGCCTGTAATCCCAGTACTTTGGAATTTGAGAGGCTCAGGCCGGTGGACTGCCTGAGGCCAGGAGTTCGAGACCAGCCTGAGCAGCATGGCAAAACCCACTCTCAAAA